TAGGGTGCTGGCTAGATTACGGGCCCTCCCATAGCTGCTGCCAGGCCCTTTAATCTGCCATGGGCCCCTATAACCGCCTCTTCATGCTGCTGCCCAGGTCCACAGTCTCTCATGCCATGTGCCACTTTTCCCAGGTCTCCTCACACTGCTTGTGTGGTTGAATTTTTTGACTTAGTGGTGCTGGCGATTACGGGCCTCCTCATAGCTGCCTGCCCAGGCCCCTAAATCTGCCATAGGCCCCTATATACCCCCGCCTCCTCATAGCTGCTGCCATGTCCAGAGTCTCGCATGGGTCCTTAGTACGGCCCTCCCATTTGCTGGCTGTTCTCCATCGTCTCACACTCTCGCCATGTGACATCTTTCAGGTTCCTCTCACATCTGCCTAGTGTTGTGTTGAAGGTTTTTGACATAGGTGCTGCTGCAGATTACGGGCCTCCCATAGCTGCTGCCCAGGCCCCTAATCTGCCATAGGCCCCTTTCTACCGCTCTCATCTAGCTGCGGCCAGCGGCCAGAGTTCTCTCATGGTTCCCTGTATACGGCCTCCCATTGCTGCTGTCTCCATCGGGCCACACTCTGGCCATGTGCCACTTTCAGGTCTCCTCCACACTGATGGTGTTGTGTCCTAATTAGTTTGGAAATAGAGTGCTGGCAGATTATGGGCCTCCTAATAGCTGCGGCCAGGCCCCTACTCTGCCATAGGCCCCTATATATACCGCCTTCCTCATGCTGCTGCCAGGTCCGAGTCTCTCCATGGGTCCACTGTAACGGCCTCCCATCTGCTGCTGTCTCCATCTCCACAACTCTGCCATGTGCCACTTTCCAGTCTCCTAGCACACTTCTAGGTGTTGTAGAATGTTTTGACATAGGGTGCTGCAGATTACGGGCCTCCCATAGCTGCTGCACGGCCCTAATTCTGCCATAGGCCCCTATATACCGCCCTCCTCATGCTGCTGCCAGGTTCCAGTCAGAGTCTTATCATGGGTCTCCTAGTACAGGCCTCCCATTTGCTGCTGTTCTCCCACTACGCCACCACTCTGCCATGTGCCACTTTCCAGGTCTCCTCTCATGCCGCTGTGTGTTGAATTTTTTTGAAATAGGGTGCGGGCAGATTATGGGGCATTTCTATAGCTGCTTCCCAGGCCCCTAAGCGGCCATAGGCCCCCTATATAACCTATACCGCATCCTCATGCTGCTCCGCCAGGTCCAGGTCTCTCATGGGTCCCTGTACGGCCGCTCATTGCTGCTGTCTACATCGCCACACTCTGCATTGTGCCACTTATCAGGTCTCCTCAACACCTGGTTAGTGTGTAGAATTTTTTGACCTAGGGGGATGGCAGATTACGGGCCTCCTATAGCTGCTGCCAGGCCCCCTAATCTGCCATAGGCCCCTATACTATTCCCGCCTCCTCCATGCTGCTGCCAGGTCCAGAGTCTCTCATGGGTCCCCTGTACGGCCTCCCATTGTTGCTGTCTCCATCGCCACACTCTCTCATTGTGCCACTTTCTGGTCTCCTCACACACTGCTGCGTGTGGTTGATTTTATGACATCGGGTGCTGGCAGATTACGGGCCTCCCATTCGCTGCTGCCAGGCCCCTAATCTAGCCATAGGCCCCTATTATAACCCGCCTCCTCATGCTGCTTGCAGGTCCCAGAGTCCTCATGGGTCCTGTAAACGGCTGGCTGCAGTCTGCCATCGCCACACTCTGCCATGTCCAACTTTCAGGTCTCCTCACACAACTGCGGGGTGTTGTGAATATTTTTGACATAGGTGCCTGGGTGATTACGGCCTCCCATTGATGCTCGCCAGGCCCCTAATCTGCCATTGGCCCCTATATACCGCCTCCTCCTGCTGCTGCCATGTCCAGCGTCCATGGGTCCCTGGTTTAACGCCTCCTCATTGCTGCTGTTTCCAATCGCCACCACTTCCCATGGAGAGTGCCACTGTCTCAGGGTTCCGCTCACATGCCTGTGTGTAGAATTTTTTGACATAGGGTCGGCTGCGGCAGATTACGGGCCTCCTATAGCTGCTGCCAGGCCCCTAATCTGCCATAGGCCCCTATATACCGCCTCCTCATGCTGCTGCCAGGTCCTGAGTCTCTCATGGGTCCCTGTACGGCCTCCACATTGCTGCTGTCTCCCATCGCCACACTCTGCCATGTGCCACTTTCAGGTCTCCTCACACAATGCTGGTGTTTGAATTTTTTGTCATAGGGTGCTGGCAGATTATACGGGCCTCCTATAGCTGCTGCCCAGGCCCTAATCACTGCCATAGGCCCCTATAATACCGCCTCCTCATGCTGCTGCCAGGTCCAGAGTCTCTCATGGGTCCCATGTATGGCCTCCCAGTGCTGCTGTCTCCATCGCCACACTCTGCCATGTGCCACTTTCAGGTCTCCTCACCACTGCTGCGTATGTGTAGAATTTTTTGACATAGGGTCTGGCAGATTACGGGCCTCCCATAGCTGCTGCCAGCCCACTAATCTGCCATAGGCCCCTATATACCGCCTTCCTCATGCTGCTGCCAGGTCCAGTGTCTGTCATGGGTCCCTGTACGGGCCTCCCATTGCTGCTGTCTCCATCGCCACAACGTCTGCCATTAGTTGCCACTTTCAGGTCTCCTCACACTGCTGGTGTGTAGAATTTTTTGACATAGGGTGCTGGGGCACGATTACGGGCCTCCTATAGCTGCTGCCAGGCCCCCTAATCTGCCATAGGCCCCTATATACCGCGCTCCTCATGCTGCTGCCAGTCCAGGAGTCTCTCATGGGTCCTGTACGGCCTCCCATTGCTGCTGTCTCCATCGCCACACTCTGCCATGTGCCACTTTCAGGTCTCCTCACACTGCTGTGGTTCAATTTTTTGTACATAGGGTGCTGGCAGATTACGGGCCTCCCATAGCTGCTGCTAGGCCCCTAATCTGCCATGGGTCCCCTATACCAGCCTCTCTTCATGCTGCTGCCAGGTCCACAGTCTCTCATGCCATGTGCCACTTTACAGGTCTCCTCCTCACACTGCTGGTGTGTTTGAATTTTTTTTGAAATAGGGTGCTGGGCAGATTACGGGCCCTCCCATAGCTGCTGCCAGGCCCCTAATCCCATGGGCCCCTATACCGCCCCTCCTCATGCTGCCTGCCAAGTCCAGAGTGTGTCATGGGTCCCTGTACGGCCTCCCATTGCTGCTGTCATCCATAGCCACACTCTGCCATGTGCCACTTTCAGGTCTCCTCACCACTGCTGGTGTGTTGAATTTTTTGACATAGGGTGCTGGCAGATTACGGGCCTCCCATTGCTGCTGCCAGGCACGTAATCTGCCATGGGCCCCCGTACCGACTCCTCATGCTGTGACGTTGCAACAAGGTGGAATTCAACCCTACATATGTTAGACCGCCTTTACGAACAGCGAAAGGCCATCACAGATTTCCTGATGTTAAAAAGCGGATAAAGTACTCCCTGTGTAACTTAGATGTCAGCCATTGGCAGCTCATATGCGTGACACCTGCGCTTGCTCAGGCCCTTTGAGGAGGCCACGCTATTCGTGAGTCGGCAGGACTATGGGATGAACGACATCATTCCTCTGTTGCACGTCCTGGAACAAATGCTGTTAACAATGGCTGGTCAGGGTGCGGTAGACGTGGCGCACAGATCTCACTACGCCACATGACCCCTGTGGGGGCAGGACAGGAAGAAGAGGAGGAGGTAGAGGAGGACATTGGTGCTCAGGAATTATTGAGTGAAATGGGTGGTTTTTCCACTCAGCGGACAGGAGTGGAGGAGCAGGAGCATCTGGTAGAGGAGGAGGAGGAGGAGACAGAGGACCCAGACGCACCGTGGCAGTATGCTGTGGAGATGGAGGCAGGGAGTCCCTCGCATTCCTTGGCACAAATGGCCCATAGCATGCTCGGTTGCTTGCGTAGCGACAGCCGAATAATAACCATCAGACAGAGGGATGACTTTTGGCTGTCCACCTTGTTGGACCCTCGCTACCCGTTCAAAAATGGTGGCCTTTTTCACACCTGCTGAGAGGGAGGCCAAAATAACGTACTAATAAAAACCACCTATGTAGTCAGCTGGTCTCTGCCTGTCTGCGCCAACGTCCATCCTCAGACACTGTGGGCCCTGTGCGCTCGCGTTCCGCTGCCATGGCAGCAGGGGAGGGGTGGGGTGGTAGGAGCAGTGGCAGCTCCACCAGCAGCGGCTGCCTCAGTCTGCAGTCGATGATGAGATAGCTTTCTTCACCAGCGCAGTGAGGAAACTACTAACCAGCCGCAGCAGCAGCAGCAGCATCAGGTGGACCTGGAGCAGGACCTCAAACAACAGGCCTTAGGCCTACTTGGACAGCACCCTGCCAACCGAGGTAGACAATCCCCTTGACTACTGGGCAACGAAACTTGACCTTTGGCCCCAACTAGCTGAATTTGCCCTTGAAAGGCTGTCATGCCCGGCCAGTTAGCGTGGCATCGGAGCGCGTGTTTTTCCTCTGTGCGGCAGGAGGTATTGCAACTCCGCGGAGGACACGACTGTCCACCCAAAGTGTGGAGAGACTGACGTTTGTGAAAAATGAATCAGGCGTGGATTAGTCTGGATTTCAAACCACCAGTTCCTGACACAACTGACTAAATCCGCCATGAATCATGCCCCAAACATGTGCCACTTTCAGGTCCTCCTCACACTGCTGGTGGGTTCCATTTTTTGTCATAGGGTGCTGGCAGATTACGGGCCTCCCATTGCTGCTGCCAGGCCCCTAATCTGCCATGGGCCCCCGTACCGACTCCTCATGCTGCTGCCAGGCCCGTAATCTGTCATGGGCCCCTGTTGTCGCTTGTTGGCATATTCCGCTCGTTCAGATGCTCCTTCTCCTGCTACTCCTCTTCACGGATTCCGTCAGCAGTCTTTCTTGGAATCCGTTTCCAAAGACAACAGTTTGCGAGCACGCACCAGACGGTGCAGAAACTGAACGTCCTCCTGTCCAAGTTGCTGCTGCCAGGCTCGTAATCTGTCATGCGCCCCTGTACCGCCTCCTCATGCTGCTGCCAGGTCCAGAGTGTGTCATGGGCCCCCGTACCGACTCCAAATGCTGCTGCCAGGCCCGTAATCTGTCATGGGCCCCTGTACCCCGCCTCCCCATGCTGCTGCCAGGTCCAGATTGTGTCATGGGTCCCTGTACTCGGCCTCCCCATTGCTGCTGCCAGGCCCGTAATCTGCCATGGGCCCCCGTACCGACCGACTCCTCATGCTGCTGCCAGGCCCGTAATCTGCCATGGGCCCCTGTACCGCCTCCTCATGCTGCTGCCAGGTCCAGAGTGTGTCATGGGTCCCTGTACGGCCTCCCATTGCTGCTGTCTCTATCGCCACACGCTCTGCCATGTGCCACTTTCAGGTCTCCTCACACTGCTGGTGGTTTCCATTTTATGTCATAGGGTGCTGTATGGCCTCCCAATGCTGCTGCCTCCACCGCCACACTGTGGCTCCACACTCTGGTTTTGGCCCCGTGACTGCCCAAATGAGTGAAGTGTGCGGTGATTCTAAGATCGACGGCACTCATCTGCATGTCATACTGCCTGACAGTAATTATTTCTCTTCCCCAGCAGACTCCAAGGGCATTTAAATTAAAGGTACAGTGTTCAGCACTAATATTAAGTCTCTCTGAAGCCTAGAAACACCCTTTTTTAAGTTAAATTCACAGCGAATATATTCGACTCGAATCAAAATTTTTCCACGAATTCGCCGAATCAGTCGAATCGAATTTTTGAATACTTCGCTTATCTCTACTTGTTATGATTTTCATTTGTCAGATGAGACAAGGGCTCATTTGCATGTACTCTCCAGCGCCTCAGGATATGCACAGCCAAAAGGGAAGCCAAGGGGTACCAGGACAGGGACAACCAAAGGAAATGTTCAGGGGTGCAGCCCTCCTCAGACAGGGAAATCAGCCACTGGATAGAGAGAAAACAGGTGGCGCACACACCTAGTGCATTATCCAAGGTTTATTGTAGGAATGAAATAATATGGACAGAAAGAGCCTCGCTGTTGATGCCACATGTCAGGCATCAACAGCGAGGCTCTTTCTGTCCATACATTATACATCAGCATCAGAGGTTGGTCATCAGCTCTGAGGAAAGGGATTCGTCCCCAAAACGCATCAGTCATTTAACCGCACTGACAGTGAGAACACCTTGCCCGCCGTTGTGGCCATTGTCATTTTTCTCTGCTTTTTAGATACATGCTTCGTCTGTGAGTATGTTTTTATTATTTCATTCCTACAATAAACCTTGGATAATGCACTAGGTGTGTGCGCCACCTGTTTTCTCTCTATCCAAGGGCTCATTTGCACTTGCATTGCCCCCTTTGTAGAGCAATGCGGTTTGAATTGTTTTTCAGAGGGCATTTGACATTTTGTGAGGTGGTGGTATGTTGCCTCCTCATCAATTGTTTTATCCCCTAAAAACCCTGCAACAGCGCACTACAACTGCATGCATTGCATACAGTTGCATTAAGGCCCTGTTTGGTTGAAAGGGTCTCATTTGACAGGATTTGGACATGCCCTTTCCCTACAGACTGCAGGATGTGTATAATCCCTGCCCATTTCTGCTGCTCCACCACCGCTCTGGAATGTCTGCAGTGGCAACTGGAATTTGCAGCCTACAGGCGCACAGGACTATGGGAAATGTTGTCCATGGGGAGCACTGTACAATGAGGTGGACAGACTGCAGAGCTACAATACCCTGCACACAGAGGAGGAGAGGACAGAGTTTTTCCTGGGCAAATGTACCAACCAGAGGTGGTCTAGTATGGGATGGGGAGCCAGAGAATGCAGACCTGTTGCTGTGGGTGTCTGCACCAGGGTGACAGACATGGAGAGCCAGTGTGTGATAGAGGCTGAGGACTGGGCCACCTTGAGCCTCTTGTGCTGCGGACTGTGGGGTTCAGACTTGCTGCATTTACCTGTCTGTGCTCAAAGAGACAGAGCCTAAGAGAGGGCTGAGGCACTGAGCCACAGAGAGTCACTGTATCTTGGGACCAGAGATACATGGAGTTTAATTACAAATTACAGGAGCATCACAAAATTGGAATGTGATTATTTCTTTCAATTTTTTAGAAGGTGCCAATAATTGTATCCAGTCCGCGTTTGGGGTTTTGCGTGCCATTACTGTGTAGGGAAATCAACATTACAATGTTAGTAGCTTTTTTAAATTGAATGTAAAAAATCACTTAGAACAATCCTTCGGTAAAGTAGACAATGGAAACATTTCCTAAAGTAATACAAGACTTGCATTTTTCATTTCATTACAGTCAGGTCCATAAATATTGGGACATTGACACAATTCTAACATTTTTGGCTCTATACACCACCACAATGGATTTTAAATGAAACAAACAAGATGTGCTTTAACTGCAGACTGTCAGCTTTAATTTGAGGGTATTTACATCCAAATCAGGTGAACGGTGTAGGAATTACAACAGTTTGCATATGTGCCTCCCATTTGTTAAGGGACCAAAAGTAATGGGACAATTGGCTTCTCAGATGTTCCATGGCCAGGTGTGCGTTATTCCCTCATTATCCCAATTACAATGAGCAGATAAAAGGTCCAGAGTTAATTTCAAGTGTGCTATTTGCGATTGGAATCTGTTGCTTTCAACTCTCAAGATGAGATCCAAAGAGCTGTCACTATCAGTGAAGCAAGCCATCATTAGGCTGAAAAAAACAAAACAAACCCATCAGAGAGATGGCAAAAACATTAGGCGTTGCCTAAACAACTGTTTGGAACATTCTTAAAAAGAAGGAACGCACCGGTGAGCTCAGCAACACCAAAAGACCCGGAAGACCGCGGAAAACAACTGTGGTGGATGACCGAAGAATTCTTTCCCTGGTGAAGAAAACACCCTTCACAGCAGTTGGCAAGATCAAGAACACTCTCCAGGAGGTAGGTGTAATGTGTTTCAAAGTCAACAATCAAGAGAAGACTTCACCAGAGTGAATACAGAGGGTTCACCACAAGATGTAAACCAGGGGTGGGCAAACTTTTTGACTTGAGGGCCGCAATGGGTTCATATATTGGACCCGGGGGCCGGACCAAGAGTAGATGAATGATGTGTAGGTGTCATCCATAGTAAGTATAGTAATATTCCCCCATAGTAAGCATAGTAATTAATCCCCCATATAGTAATTCATCTCCCATATAGTAATTCATCCCCCATATAGTAATTCATCACCCATAGTAATTCATCCCCCATATAGTAATTCATCCCCCATATAGTAATTCATCCCCCATAGTAATTCATCCCCCATATAGTAATTCATCCCCCATAGTAATTCATCCTCCATATAGTAATTCATTCCCCATAGTAATTCATCCCCCATATAGTAATTCACCCCCCATATAGTAATTCATCCCCCATAGTAATTCATCCCCCATATAGTAATTCATCCCCCATATAGTAATTCATCCCCCATATAGTAATTCATCCCCCATAGTAATTCATCCCCCATATAGTAATTCATCCCCCATATAGTAATTCATCCCCCATAGTAATTCATCCCCCATATAGTAATTCATCCCCCCTATAGTAATTCATCCCCCCTATAGTAATTCATCCCCCTATAGTAATTCATTCACCCCCCCTATAGTAATTCATTCACCCCCCCTATAGTAATTCATCCCCCATATTAATTCATCCCTCATATAGTATTTCATCCCCCACAGTACTATTCCCCCCCAAGTAGTAAGCCAAGTTCCCCCTGTGTCAATTCACTTACCTTTGCTCCGCGCGTTCCTCTCGCCGTGTTCCCGCGCCATTCCGGTCTTCAGGGCGGACTGTGAGAGGAGCCTAGCTCCCCTCACGTTCCTCACGCTGCCCCGCCTACACACATTCTGACAGCCGATGTTTGCCACGCTCCGCGGGCCGGATTAAAAGGTCCGCCGGGCCGTATACGGCCCGTGGGCCGTAGTTTGCCCATTGCTGATGTAAACCATTGGTGAGCCTCAAAAACAGGAAGGCCAGATTAGAATTCGCCAAACGACATCTAAAAAAGCCTTCACAGTTCTGGAACAACATCCTATGGACAGATGAGACCAAGATCAACTTGTACCAGAGTGATGGGAAGAGAAGAGTATGGAGAAGGAAAGGAACTGCATACCACCTCATCAATGAAGCATGGTGGTGGTAGTGTCATGGTGTGGGCATTTATGGCTGCCAATGGAACTGATTCTCTTGTATTTATTGATGATGTGACTGCTGACAAAAGCAGCAGGATGAATTCTGAAGTGTTTCGGGCAATATTATCTGCTCATATTCAGCCAAATGCTTCAGAATTCATTGGACGCCGCTTTACAGTGCAGATGGACAATGACCCAAAGCATACTGCAAAAGCAACCAAAGAGTTTTTTAAGGAAAGAAGTGGAATGTTATGCAATGGCCAAGTCAATCACCTGACCTGAATCCGATTGAGCATGCATTTCACTTGCTGAAGACAAAACTGAAGGGAAAATGCCTCAAGAACAAGCAGGAACTGAAGACAGTTGCAGTAGAGGCCTGGCAGAGCATCACCAGGGATGAAACCCAGCTTTCGGTGATGTCTATGCATTCCAGACTTCAGGCTGTAATTGACTGAAAAGGAATTGCAACCAAGTATTAAAAAGTGAAAGTTTGATTTATGATTATTATTTTGTCCCATTACTTTTGGTTCCTGAACAAGTGGGAGGCACATATGCAAACTGTTGTAATTCCTACACCGTTCACCTGGTTTGGATGTAAATACCCTCAAATTAAAGCTGACAGTCTGCAGTTAAAGCACATCTTGTTCCTTTTCATTTAAAATCCATTGTGGTGGTGTATAGAGCCAAAAATGTTAGAATTGTGTCGATGTCCCAATATTTATGGACCTGACTGTATGAGAGGAAAGATTAGAGGAACTGAATTTATTCTCTCTTGAGAAGAGGAGAATAAGGGGGGATTTGATCAACATGCATAAATACATCAGTAGTTCATATTATGAACTTGGCGCACAATTATTCACCTTGAGGTCATCACAGAGGACAAGGGGCACTCTTTACGTCTGGAGGAAAAGAAATCTAATCTCCAAATATGGAAAGGTTTCTTCACAGTAAGAGCTGTGAAAAGGTGGAATAGTTGGTTCTGAGTTGGTTCTGGCCAGCTCAGTGAATTGCATTAAAAAAGGACTGAGCAATTGCCAGTTAAAGTAGCACAGTGCTAAATAGCAAAAAATGTCCTGATCAGGAAGGGGGTAAAACCTTCCGGAGACCTGCAAGGGGCTGGACGGGTTTTGGTCTCAGGTTTAGAAGACCAATAAGCTGCTTACTGATTTTGATCTGGGCTCGGACCCCGCCAGGTTCCTTCTGCATCACTCTGATCTCCCAAAATATAGATATAAAAATCTATGCTTATTCACTTGTTAAATGCAGCAATGGCCTGTATAGTGGTTATGGAAGCATTTCTGGCCATGGCTATCTTGAGTAGGGGCAGATGATTCATGTAGCATTTACTCCCTGGAATCCATCTGCCCTTGGCTCAGGCATGCAGGCAGAAGGGTGTGAGAACTCCTCCTCCCCATTTCCTCTCCTGAAGACTCCTGGGATGTATGACATTATTTGCCTAGGCCAGAAACCAGGAAGTAACTGAAAATGTGATGCATGTAAATATAATATACTTTCCTATCTGAAAATGTAAAGAAAAAGTTTGAAGCATGTAAATATAATATGCCTTCCTATATATGTATATATAATATACTTTCCTATCTATTTACTAATGCTAGTAGTATAAGGATTACAAATAATCAATGTTGATTGAAAGAGTGACGTTCCACTTTAAGATTGCTGCTTGTCTGCTGGCAATCTCTTTCCACAACTTCCTTGATTCCCTGCATGATTTGCAGCCTCCCCCTCTCTTTACCTTGCTGCCTGTAGCAGTGATTCCTATACCGACTCTGCCTCCTGAAACTCCTTCTCTGTAACTCAGACGGCAGGCTGAAAAGTGTGACACAGCAATACCTATTTAAAGGGCATAGTGAATAGGTGTTGCATAATTCAAGAAAAAAAAACAAATGGTGAGGAAGCAACATATAACCTCCTCACCACCTGTCAATGCCTCTGAAAGGTTATCTGAGAGTATATTGCTTTTTGGAGGAGTGCCAGTCCTTGCCACAAGTGTAAATGAGCCCATAAGATTTTTCTTCCCTTTATTTTCACCTGGTAGTTCAGCCAATATCTTATTTTTCAACTTCCTTTAAACAGACCAAGCTGTGCAGAGTTAGAGGGTTGAGACAAACCATTTAACGCTGACAATGATCAACTTATAATGTATTCATATAAAAAACTTTATTTAAAAAGGAAAAAAAAAACTGCTGCTGTAACTGCATAAAAGTGTTAGCTGGAGCTCTGCTCAATGTGTTTGTCAAGTTCATCTAAATCCTCTTGTACATCCAACACCACTGTCTTCCCAGACTGACTGATGTCCAAATGTGGCTCTGTGGCTCCTCCAGTGGAAGATAGGAAGTGTGTTAATGGCAGGATCACTAGGTGACAATAAAGGAAAAAAAGCCTAAAGAAAGGAATTCTAATGCAACTACCACATTTAAGGATTGGTAAGCTGCAATATATACAATTTTTATTTTTGGTTTAATATAACTTTAACTGAGTTAACAGATCAACAAAGCAAGGACACATATTACTAGATTACATGAACTATTTCAGATTGTCTGGGATGATTTTGATTCTACAGGTAAATATATCAGATATTTACAGATTTAATCTAATTCTTGTTCACTCATCCTTTTTTTCTGCAGGTACCTAGCCATCCGCTACCCACTGAAATCCAGAGACCTCCGAACCTCTAGGAATGCCCTTGCAGCTATTGCGGTTATATGGACCCTTTCTATCCTATTTGCTGGCCCTTACTTGAGCTACTACCATATAATTCTCTATAATCAAGTACCTATCTGTATTCCTAACTGGGAGGATCGTAAGAGGAAGATAATGGATGTTTCTACTTTTGTTTTTGGCTACCTGCTCCCTGTGCTTATTCTTGGTCTCTCCTATGCTAGAACCATCTGCTTTCTGTGGACTTCAGTGGACCCTGTAAAGACGGTGTCTGAATCCAGAAAAGCCAAGCACAAAGTAACCAAAATGATTATCATAGTGGCTGTGCTGTTCTGTATTTGCTGGCTGCCCCATCACTTAGTCATTCTTTGCTTCTGGTTTGGACATTTTCCCTTCAATAGAGCCACATATGCTTTCCGCCTGGTATCTCATTGCATGTCCTATGCTAATTCTTGCCTCAATCCAATTGTGTATGCTCTTATCTCTAAGCACTTCCGTAAGAGATTTAAACAAGTTTTTACATGTATACTGACTCAGAAACGTGCACGCAACAAGGTTCATGCGGTGCAAACTGCCAATACTGTAGCTGGTTTCTATGCTGGACACACAGAGGTAACCCAGGTTCAAGAGGAGACAGCTCGTGGTGGAAGAGTAGCAAGAGATGAAGTTATTGAGGGTCTTAGTTCAGAAGAGTCAACAAACCACAGGGTAGTTGGTGGAAGCTGGGGAACACGGCTGCCCAAGGCTGTTGGCTTTACAGCACAAACTACATAGACTTGAGAAGAAAAAAAGAATACCAAATGGAGTCTCACAAGCAGCATCACAGAAGGAGTAAACAAAGCTCTGCTGGTAGCTGATCCTAACTCATCTACAATTGTAGACTAAAGGATTATATAGCTTCTTTATGTACCTCTCTCAACACCGCTTATATTGTATCTGCTTTGGATAAGATCTGACATGAATGCATAGGGTGCTGGTCTACATAAAAGAATATTTGGGGAATGTTTGTCTCAGAAAAAGCCAAGATACTTTTTTCTGTGCATTACATTTTTTATTCTTTATTTTAAGTCTTTTTGTTGGGACCCCAATTAATGAGATGCAGATGTAACTATATTACTCATGGACTAAATAATGCTGCTATAATTATATCCAAACCATCAGGTTTCAGAAAGGCCTGTCTCCTCTTTCTTGTCTAAATGTGCTAAATGTAAACAAATACACGGTTTTCATGCCATAGACAAACCACAAACAAAGATTTCAGGTGAATTAGCAGTAGAGAGAAATATGATTTTATTAGTTAGACAAATAATATAAGTTACTGAAGGCCATTGGACACCAAGGGGTTTATTTACTAAAGCTGGAGAGTCCAAAATCAGACTCCCTTCTGCATAGAAACCAATCAGCTTCTAACCTCAGCTTGTTCAATGAAGCTTTGGCAATGAAACTTGGAAGCTGATTGGTTTCTATGCAGAAGGGAGTCTGATTTTGGACTCTCCAGCTTTAGTAAATAAACCCCCAATTGTCTAATACTGGGCAATTTTGACAATTCTGAGCTGTGATCACAACTAAATAAAAGGTGTAACTATAGGTGTAGCAAACAATGCTACTGTTGTAATCAGAAGGATGGATGTTTTAGCAATGTCTGTTTGGAGATTGCTGGTACATTGGAGAACCAGTGGTTTCTGACTTGGTGGGAATGCACAACATATCATTACACCTCTGACTGAAGCAAACATTTAAGAAACCATCAATGAGTGATAGAAATACTTGGTATAAAATATTAGGTGATTTCTACTGTCCAATTAGATTAGTGCAGAGTGAAATAGGGGATGGTGGGCAGAAACACTAAGGGCAGCAAGTAACACAGGGGATCAATTTACCCAGAAACATTGGTTTCTGTACAGACTTTGTAAACTTTTTTTCACACAGAAGTGTTTGTTGGTGCTGGCAGTGAGAAGGGTAAGCATTTCATTTAATTTCAATTCTTTGCAGGTAAAGCTTTTATTCTAGCATTTGTTTTTGCAACAAAGTTGTTTAAGGCAAGTCAAATATGAAGTTTAAAGTGTACAGTATGTGCAATGAAAATAAAGAAAATGGTTTATTGAAAAGAAAATGGAGAAAGTCTGCCCATACTACAATACATGTAAACTAGAGCACTATATGGTCTGCACATTGCCTAGAGTGATCTTACATTAAACGTTTCTATGTGTGGCCAATATAATGCAGATATTTTCTTTAATCTCAAGTGAGGTTATAAGCCCATCCGAATAAATGCTCAAATAAAATGATACTGTAAATAAAATATATTTTTAAAGCATTGTATAGCTGATACCGTTGGAAATATATTTTCTATGTATTATTGCATTGTGTAGCCAAGTCTAAACACAGTTCTCATCTAAGATGTTTCATATTTCTTATGTACAATACAAGAGAATACAAGGTGGTCAAATCTGATTATTCAAGAAGATGGAGATGAATATGTAATAGGAGGACCATGATGAAATTCTGGTTCTAAACCCAGAAGGTTTTTTTACCTTAGTGCATTACCTGCATTAAGGTAAAAAAAACCTTTCACTAGTTTCTCCCCCCACCCCCCTTCATAAATTCTTACCTGAGTCTTGTATCAATCCAGTGTTGTGCCCATCTGCAGCTCTGGTTATCTCTCTACTATCTCACAGGCTCAGAGTCAGCAGTGGGTGCTATTTGGCTTCTGCAGCTGTAAATCAAATGCTGTGAGAAAGTAGTGGGGACAGGGACAATCCACACCAATGTGGACTTGTGGAAGCTGCTGCCTCTGGGGGAGCACCGAGAAGAGGAAGAGCAAACAGTGCCAGGGAAACCCCAGAAGAGGAAGTTTGGGATGCTATGTGCAATTCCATTGCACAAACCAGGTAAGTATAACATGTTTGTTATTTTGTTTTTTTAAATAATGCCTTTACAATCACTTTAATTACAGCATGAGCATATCCACTTTTCAATACATTTGAGGAAGGTTGTAACAATTCACATCCTTCCTCAAATGTTGTATTGAAAAGCGGATATTCTCATGCTGTAATTAAAGTCAATGGTAAGGGTTCTTCCCTTGGCAATTCACTCCATGGGTCAAATAATTTTGTGGATAACAGCCTCAAAATGTATTATTGGCATTCTGCTCAAGCTCTGGTCTTTTATCTCTCATTTGCAGCTAGAGGGGAAACTACTTTACCCATGTTTGATACGATAGACAACAAGCTGCAATGTCATTACCAGATTCCTCAAATTTTCCTTCTAAATGTATTTTCTACCTATCTCAATTTGCATTGTGATCTTTCTATAAAATATTCATCTACCATCTACCTTGTACCTTATAGTGAATCTGTTGCTGGGTGTTGAACCTTAAAATATGTAATTAATTTAAAGATGCTGTAAATGAGCCTTAAAACAAGCCCTCACTTGACCTATATATCTGCAGGTACTGTATAACAGTTGATCCTCAAAATTCATAACACAATATCACATTTCAAGGCTGGATAATATATTGTTCTTCCTATTTACTTATGTGTAAGCACTGTTTTTGTACTTTATATATACTAACATACAATGCTCAGCAGTAATAATGAGATGTAATGCTGCTGAGTCTATCATGGTTATTATAGCAGCTGGGGGCTTCATGGGTAACATAGAATATATTGGATTACTGTGTGTACATTGGTAATCCTCCTTTCACTCCCCCTACTCATATAAGTCTTAGATCTTTCATTTATTTTCCAATGTATTGATTTATTGCTATTGAAACGAGAAAGCCTTCTGGATACAAACCCTCTTAACTGCAGTATAGAGCCTGCATGAAGATATTAAATTCTCTCTCTCTCTCTCTCTCTCTCTCTCTCTCTCTCTCTCTCGACTGTGTCAAACTCTTTTGCAAAATCCAAGTATATTATATTTACAGCCACAAATTCATCTACATTTTTGCTTACCTCCTCATAAAAAAAAATCTATTTATTTGCTAACTTCTGTCTTTTATGAATCCATGCTGTCTGTTGCTTAAAACATTTTTTTTTTCTAGCAAAAAGTCATCTATGTAGTCTATGAGCCCTGGTTCACTCTTGTCCGCACCTGTTCCCACTCCTGCAATCAGCCAGCAGCGGGATTATGGGTGCACGCACCTTTTTTTTTGGGTGAAACGCGGCCTGCGTTAGTGTGAACCTAGGCTGAAACTCTCTAGTATCTTCTCATCTATAGAAATTAAACTAATAGGTCTCTAGTTACTTGGTAAAGACTTTGATCCTGTTTTAAATATAGGTACCATGTTGCCCTTACGTCAATCCAGTGGTACTATGCCAGACATTAGAGTCCCAGAAAATTAAAAGCAATGGCTTTGAAATTACAAAGCTCAATTCTTTTAGGGCATGTAGGTGTCTGCTATCTGGTCCAGGTACATTTAAGCAATGTTTAGCATATTGTAATTGCCAAATGTAAATGCAATAGTGGTTCAACTTGTAAAGGATCAATGGTAACATAAAAATAAGCACATAAAAAAAAAAGCTGTAATATAATTTATATTTATCATAAAGTGATTAGTTTACACATTTATATTGCAAAGATGCAATGTTAGTACATCAACAGTATATTTACAGATGCAAAAAATGTAGCAAAATTACGGACGTAACTGAAAATTCATATAAAATAGACAGATGTTTTAGCATGCCCGACAATAGCATGAGATGGAAAACCAGAAATTAGGATACACTCAAATAGCAGGGACATACAGGTACAGAATTTAATGGGAAAGATACCACACAAATGCATTGGGATACACTTTTTTCAGGTGTATCCTCCTTCATATAGAGTTTTGCATGTTCTATAGAGGCTCTTGTGACTTTTTATGTGCAGCTCCTTCCCCTGCCTGGCTGCTCTAATGCAGGTCCTGGTGTCTGAGACTGTATCACTTTTATTCCATGACTCCCATCTCTGCCATCCCCAAAATGGAGTCATTTTGACTTATGCCAACCAGCTTGGGCAGACATTATGAGGTTGGAAGGTGGAATGACATTACTGAGACCGTATAATAAAAACATTTTAAAAATGCATCAAAACACATAGAGGAACTCTTTTTTTCTTTCTTTTTGATTTCAGAGAACATAAGCTTGTCAGACAGTAGAAAGCCAAAAGGGGAAGGATAGAATAAATAAATAGACAAACACCACATAAATGTAAAATAAAAAATGCAAAATAGACAATACAATAAAGACCCCAGGAAAACTTGGACTATAAAATCACGTGGATGTAGTGGATCAGAGCCAGCTGACAAGAGGGTGCCCTTGTGGTAAACAAAGAACAGGAATATTATTACATAACATTTATATTAATGCTGAACTCCAGACAAACAGATATACAGATGAAATACATATATGGAAGTTTTTTACCTTCCAAAGAATTTGTATTTCTGTCTATCCAGCACTGCTTTGTACTTGGGGGTACTCTTTATGTCTGGAGGAAAAGAGATTTAACCTCCACATATGAAAAGGCTTCTTCACAGTAAGAGCTGTGAAAATGCGGAATAGACTCCTTAAAGAGCTGGTTCTGGCCAGCTCCACAGATAGTTTCAAAAAGGCCTGGAAACATTCCTAAATGTACAAAGTATAACTGGATATTAATATTTAGAGCTAATAACACCAAGAGTAGTTGATTCAGGGAATATCCGATTGTCAAATTCAGTGTGACAGTGCTAGGCCCTGCCACTGGATAAATGGAGTTGGAAATGACACAGGATTCTCAAAGCTAAAGTTTGAGAAGCTCCAGAGTAATTGTTAGGAGTGGAGAAAACTGCTTTCTTTGTGTTTTGTAATCCCATATCAGGGACTGGAGCTTGAAGGCTTCAAAGTGTGTTGGGTGGGACGAAGCCTTCAAAGCTGTGTCCGGGTGTTGCTGGAGACACGCAAGCTTGTTGAAATATAGAGGTGTGTTCCAGCCAAGAGAGGTAATCTACTTGGGAGACAAAACTCTATATTAGAGAGATTCCCTTAACTTCAGGACTGGAAAAAGTGAGACAGCTGAGCAAAGTCAGCATATCTGATAGAGCTGAGAGAACAAGCAAGTCTAGGGGACTGGGGATGGTGAGGAAGGGGGTGTGGTATGTCTCAGAAGAATGAGAAATCCTGGAGTGCAAAGAGAACCCTATCTAGAAGTCTGGAGTGCATCCGTCCAGCAATGTATTAAATCAAGGTTGAATGAGTCAGGAGAGCCAGAGATCTGGGTGTTACAGTCGGAAGGACTAGTAAAGAGAGCAGTGGTGCTGTTGAAATGAGAACCGAGTGGCTTAGCTTTTTTGCTGGTGAAAAGTCCCCTGCATGGGCAACCTGACGTATCAACTTGATCTTCTCCTTTTTCAATAAAAAAAAAAAAACATAGTTCAGACTAATATGGACTTCACTAATATGCATTTGCCACTGAAATAAAAAATGCCTTTCCACCCTTCTATTGAGATCTCTCAATATCACTACAATCAGCGCTCTCTCTCTTCTTCAGTGGAAGCTCAAGGTTAATAGTTTCAGATCTCAAACCATACACTCAATTGACCAGTAACCCAATCTGACAATATTTCACTCAGCATGCATATACTAAAAAACATAATAACAATCGTCTGTATAAAACATATAATACATTTAAAATATATAGCACCACTCATTGAGATCTGAAACGTTTAACCTTGAGCTTCCAGCTTGAGGGAGAGAGAGAGTGTTGATTGCAGTGATATTGAGGCATCTACCACTGAGCTAAACATCCTCCATATCAGGAACTGACACTTTTTAAAAAGTACATTTAATTTGTGTTCTTTATACCTGCCTGAAGTTCAGCTTAAAATTAGCGAACATTCTGACTATGACACAGCTGCTCTTTGCTCAGTAAGCGGTTTCACTTGTGTAGTGCTGATGATAATTTATAAAATTCACAATAACACGGTTCTAAAGGCTGAAGGTTTTTTAGTTTCATGCATTCTATGCATGCATAAACCTTCAGGGTGCAACTCCCTCCTCAGCCCCTCTAATACTTACCTGAGCCCATCTCGATCTAGCAATGTGCACTAGAGCAGCGGCTCTCCTGGGACCCCCTCTCCTCATTTGCTGTCAATCACAAGCAGTGAATAGGGAGCTGGGGCAGTACTGAGCCACACTATGTGTGTCCCAAAGACACAGAGATGGCTCTGGAGCGGGCACGCAGGAATGCCCCCTGAGCTAGCTGCTTGCTCCGCAAGGGGGAGGGGCCAGAAATGTCTACCCATCATCTATAGCTAAGATTTGTAAATGTTACTTTTAAATAGTTTTAATTGTGTTTATTTATTCACAAGCCTAATATAGAAAAGCCTAAAATGAGACATGTGCATGGAGGAAATTTTCATTTCATTTCAGATGCATTCATTAATTGAAAAATTTTTCTTCATCATATCTGTTATGTTGAACGGATTTGTTTTCCGAATTCGTTTCGCATCTTTGGCATTTGTTGTATATTTTCTTGGTCTGGTTGGATTTGAAAACAATATTGAACTATTTAGAAGGATTCCATATTTTCAGCAGCAACGGAATAAAATTAACCACTTGCCCTCCAGAGTATTTACCTCCCTTAATGACCAGGCCCTCTTTTTGCTACTCGGCGCTGCACTAATTCAACTGATAACTGTGCGGTCATGCAATGCTGCACCTAAACAAAATTTATGTCCTTTTTTTTCACACCAATAGAGCTTTCTTTTGGTGGTAATTGATCATCTGTGCACTTTTTATTTTTGGTGCTATAAACAAAAAACATTTTGAAAATAATTTTTTTTTTTTTTTTTAAATTATATGTTTTCATTTCTGTCATAAAAAATAACCAAAAAACTAAAATTCCATCATAAATTTAGGCCAAAATATAGCATCTACAAACTATGGTATAGATCAGTGATGGCGAACCTTTTTGAGCCCGAGTGCCCAAACTGCAACCCAAAACCAACTTATTTCTTTCAAAGTGCCAACACTGCAATGAAACCTGAATATCGAGCTTTTGGTTTAGAAAAAACAACTCGTACAGTAGTGCAAACTAATTAACAGTACAGGGATGACCAGAGACTGCGGACAGTACAGGGATGACCAGAGACTGCGGACACAGTACAGGGATGACCAGAGACTGCAGACACAGTACAGGGATGACCAGAGACTGCGGACACAGTACAGGAGATGACCAGAGACTGCAGACATAGTACAGGGATGACCAGAGACTGCGGACACAGTACAGGGATGACCAGAGACTGCGGACACAGTACAGGGATGACCAGAGACTGCAGATATAGTACAGGAGATGACCAGAGACTGCGGACACAGTACAGGGATGACCAGAGACTGCGGACACAGTACAGGGATGACCAGAGACTGCGGACACAGTACAGGGATGACCAGAGACTGCGGACACAGTACAGGGATGACCAGAGACTGCGGACACAGTACAGGGATGACCAGAGACTGCAGACACAGTACAGGGATGACCAGAGACTGCGGACACAGTACAGGGATGACCAGAGACTGCGGACACAGTACAGGAGATGACCAGAGACTGCGGACAGTACAGGAGATGACCAGAGACTGCGGACACAGTACAGGAGATGACCAGAGACTGCGGACACAGTACAGGAGATGACCAGAGACTGCGGACACAGTACAGGAGATGACCAGAGACTGCGGACACAGTACAGGGATGACCAGAGACTGCGGACACAGTACAGGGATGACCTGAGACTATGGACAGTACAGGAGATGACCAGAGACTGCGGACAGCACAGGGATGACCAGAGACTGCGGACACGGTACAGGGATGACCAGAGACTGCGGACACAGTACAGGAGATGACCAGAGACTGCGGACAGCACAGGGATGACCAGAGACTGCGGACAGTACAGATGACTGCTGACCTTTGGGGAGGTGGGGAGCGGGTACCTGAATTTGACAGGTACCCGCTCTTACTTCCGCAGAGTTTTTTTTTTATCTTACCTGTTCCTTTATCCAGCCGCGCGCTGTCTTCCCGGCTTCTGTAGTGTGGGCGCTCGTCGGACAGCCGGATGCCCAGTGCGCATGCGCGAGAAGCGCTGCGCTTTGTGATTGGTCCGGCGGCTTCTGGGATCTGTCATGTGTCCCAGGTACCGCCTTACCATTCACAAAGAGCACTGCTTCTTGCGCATGCGCACTTGGGACCCGGCTGTCACGCACACTACAGAAGCCGGGAAGACAGCGCGCCGCTGGATAGAGGGACAGGTACGGTCCCACTGCAGAGCTGAGCGGCCGGCTCGGTATTCTGACACGGCGGCGGTGGAAATACCGGACCGGCCGCTCTATATTCGCTCCATAAGACGCACTGACATTTCCCCCCCTTTTTTGGGGGAAAAAAAGTGCGTCTTATGGAGCGAAAAATACGGTATTCTCCTGGCGTACCCACAGATAAGGCTCGGCGTGCCGGCTGTGGCACGAGTGCCACGGGTTCGCCATCACTGGTATAGATAATGGAATTTACACAGCTTTTACTTTCTGACTGCCCATCACATTTCTTGAGGTGATAAAATACCAGGATAGTACAAACACCCCCAAATGACCCCTTTTCGGAAAGTAGACAGCCGAAGCTATCTGCTTAGAGGCATATTGAGTCCATGGAAGATTTTTTTTTTCCACACGTTTCTGGAAATGACAAAAACATTTTTTTTTTTTTACACAAAGTTGTAATTTAAATGATATATTTCTCACTCTCACACAAGCCATGGGTACAGGTGAAATTCGAAAAATTAAAATATCATTCAAAAGTTCATTTATTTCAGTAATGCAACTTAAAAGGTGAAACTAATATATGAGATAGACTCATTACATGCAAAGCAAGATAGTTCAAGCCGTGATTTGTCATAATTGTGATGATTATGGCTTACAGCTCATGAAAACCCCAAATCCACAATCTCAGAAAATTAGAATATTACATGCAATCAATAAAACAAGGATTGTACATAGAACAATATCGGACCTCTGAAAAGTATAAGCATGCATATGTACTCAGTACTTGGTTTGGGACCCTTTTGCAGCAATTGCTGCCTCAATGCGGCGTGGCATGGAAGCTATCAGCCTGTGGCACTGCTGAGGTGTCATGGAAGACCAGGATGCTTCAATAGCATAGATTCTCTATGGGGTTCAGGTCAGGTGAGTTTTCTGGCCAATCAAGCACAGTAATCCCACGGTTGTTGAACCAGGTTTTGGTGCTTTTGGGAGTGTGGGCAGGTGCCAAGTCCTGCTGGAAAATGAAGTCAGCATCCCCATAAAGCTCACCAGCGGAAGGAAGCATGAAGTGCTCCAAAATCTCCTGGTAGATAGCTGCGTTGGCCTTGAACTTAATGAAGCACAGTGGACCAACACCAGCAGATGACATGGCTCCCCAAATCAACACAGACTGTGGAAACTTCACACTGGACTTCAAGCATCTTACAGTGTGTGCCTCTCCATTCTTCCTCCAGTCCTTGGTTTCCAAATGAGATGCAAAAGTTGCTCTCATCAGATAAGAGGACTTTGGAGAACCGAGCAACAGACCAGGTGTCAGGGCTCCAGGGTGTGACCAGAGGTATGTGAACTGACGCAGGGAAACGCAGGCTTCAGATATGTTATAACAATATAATTTATTAACACTAACAATACATAAACGCAGTGCAATACTAAAACATAACAGTGCAAACGAACCAAACCAAACCACCCACAGATAACAATACATACAATGCAAGCGTCGTCAGGCAGGCCGGGTCAATAACAATCGGGCAGGTAGGAACAGGAGGAGCAGGCAGAGAGTAGTCAGGTCACGAGCCGGGTACAGCAACTAACGGGCAGGTAGGTACAGGGGGTCAGGCAGAGAATAGTCGGGGTCACAAGCCAGGGATCAAACAGGAGAAGTCAGCAGAGGTCCGGATCAGGCAGGGTCAGCAACGAATCAGTCAGACAGGGACAGGGACAGGAACAGGAACAGGATGCAGGTAACAAGATACAGGGGCCCAGGAAAAACACACACCAAGGCCCAGACTGCAGGTCTGGCCATCCCTTAAATACACCTGCATAATCAGTGCAGGTGTTTGGCTGGCTGCAGGGTTGAGTCTCTGATTGCTGAGAGCACCCGCTGGCCAGCCCTGGTACTGCAGCCCACAAGGCAGGTGAGTCCCACCATTACTGGCAAGTCCATTCCTGACAGTACCCCCCCCTCAAGGAGCGGCCTCAGGACGCTCCAAACAGTCCTAGCTGGGCAAAATGTTCCACCGCCCGGGTCTGGTAACTGGCGGGATATCAAAGACTGGCACATCGAGCAGGACTCCGGGCAGCGGCACATCGGGCTGGACTCCGGGCAGCGGCACATCGGGCTGGACTCCGGGCAGCGGCACATCGGGCAGGACTCCGGGCAGCGGCACATCGGCAGGACTCCGGCAGCGGCACATCGGGCAGGACTCCGGGCAGAGGTACATCGGGCAGGACTCCGGGCAGCGGCACATCGGGCTGGACACCGGATCACCAGGCGGAGCAGCAGGCACCGGGCCACCAGGCGGAGCAGCAGGCACCGGGCCCCCAGGCGGAGCAGCAGGCACCGGGCCCCCAGGCGGAGCGGTTGGCGCCGGGCTCCCCGGCGGAGCAGCAGGCACCGGGCCACCAGGCGGAGCGACAGGCATCGGGCCCCAGGCGGGGCGGCGGGCGCCGGGCCCCCAGGCGGGGCGGCGGGCACCGGGCCCCCAGGCGGGGCGGCGGGCGCCAGGCCCTCAGGCGGGGCGGCGGGCACCGGGCCCCCAGGAGGGGCGGCAGGCACCGGGCCCCCGAGCGGAGCGACAGGCATCGGGCCCCCAGGCGGGGCAGCGGGCGCCGGGCCCCCAGGAGGGGCGACAGGCATCGGGCCCCCAGGCGGAGCGACAGGCATCGGGCCCCCAGGTGGAGCGGCGGGTGCTGGGCCCTCAGACGGGGTGGCAGGCACCGGGCCCCCAGGAGGAGCGATGGGCGCCGGGCCCCCAGGAGGAGCGGCAGGTGCCGGGCCCCCAGGCGGAGCGGCGGGCGCCGGACCCCCAGGTGGGACGACAGGCACCGGGCCCCCAGGCGGAGCGGTGGGCACCGGGTCATCAGGCACGACAACGGGCATCGGGTCACCAGGCATCAGGTCATTTGGCTCGCCAGCGGGCACCGCGTCATCTGGCAAGGCAGTGGGCACCGAGTCACCAGGCACGACAGTGGGTTCCGAGTCAACTGGCATGACCACGGGCACTGGGTCAGACATTGGATCGTCTGGCTCGACAGCGGGCATCGGGTCACCAGGCATCAGGTCATTTGGCTCGACAGCGGGCACCGCGTCATCTGGCAAGGCAGTGGGCACCGAGTCACCAGGCACGACAGTGGGCTCTGAGTCAATTGACACGACAGCGGGCACCGGGTCATCAGGTACCGGATCGTCTGGATCGACAGCGGGCACCGGGTCATCTGGCGTTGGATCGTCTGGCTCGACAGAGGGCATCGGGTCACCAGGCATGACAGCGGGCACTGGGTCACCAGGCATCAGGTCATTTGGCTCGCCAGCGGGCACCGCGTCATCTGGCAAGGCAGTGGGCACCGAGTCACCAGGCACGACAGTGGGCTCCGAGTCAACTGGCATGACTGTGGGCACTGGGTCAGACGTTGGATTGTCTGGCCCGGCAGCGGGCATCGGGTCACCAGGCATGACAGCGGGCACTGGGTCATCAGGCGTTGGATCGTCTGGCTCGACAGCGGGCATCGGGTCACCAGGCATGACAGCGGCACTGGGTCATCAGGTACCGGATCGTCTGGATCGACAGCGGGCATCGAGTCAACTGGCCTAATAGGATCATCAGGCTGGATCAGTTCATCAGGCTGGGTAGAAACATCAGGCTGAATGGAGACATCAGGCTGAATGGAGGCATCAGGCTGAATGGAGGCATCAGGCTGAATGGAGGCATCAGGCTGAATGGAGGCATCAGGCTGAATGGAGGCATCAGGCTGGGTAGAGGCATCAGGCTGGGTAGAGGCATCAGGCTGGGTAGAGGCATCAGGCTGGGTAGAGGCACCAGGCTGCACCACGGAAGGCAGGTTCTCAGATGGGAGGCTGACGGTTTGGATATTGGCAGGATGGTATTGGTTGGAAAGAACTTTCGCCTTTTCCTGGTTTTAGTTACCGGAGCACTGTAAGTAAGCGCAGGTTTGTAAACGATGGAGCAGCTGGAGACAGAGAAGAGCTGGAGGATGGAACAGGGGAGGGAACAGTTGCTACAGAGGGCTTCTTTACAGGGTTAAAGGCAGGATAGGTGCAGCGAGTGGGAACAGGGTACTGACATGCGGTAGATAGCAGGGTATACTGGGCTGTAACTGGAAGTGCTGTTGGGAATGCAGGAATAGAGCTTTGAAGAAATAGATTAGAAGCAGGACTGGGTTTTTGCAAGCTGACTGAGGCTGGGTGCAACAAGTCTGACCATGTCTGCAGTATGGGTTGAACAAAGCTCAGCTTACACAAAGCCTGTCTGACCAAAGACTGCACTGCGTTTATACAATCCCTTAATACCTGTGGTGAACATGCAGCATAATGTTCCAAGAAGCAATCCACATCATCCTCTAATAACCATACCAGGGACTCTACCTGGTCTGCACTAAATGGTGGCAAAAAGTCATTCCTGCTTTCAGGGGTACCAGATGAAGCCAACTCTACACAAACCTGAATCAATGTTGCACCTCAGAGAACTCTGTGCTCTGATCTACTAGAACATGAGCGATCCGTATACATTCTAGCAGTTGATCCCGGGTATACTCCCTCAGAGCCTGATAAGCATATTCTCTGTCATTAAAAACCAGCAGCGACAAATACACAACCTCATCAAGATCCATCCTTCCCAGCAACAAGTCAAGATGGCTTCCCTGTGCAGCCACTTCTGGTCAGGATTGGCCTTGGTGTAATGTCAGGGCTCCAGGGTGTGACCAGAGGTATGTGCACTGACGCAGGGAAACGCAGGCTTCAGATATGTTATAACAATATAATTTATTAACACTAACAATACATAAACGCAGTGCAATACTAAAACATAACAGTGCAAACGAACCAAACCAAACCACCCACAGACAACAATACATACAATGCAAGCGTCGTCAGGCAGGCCGGGTCAATAACAATCGGGCAGGTAGGAACAGGAGGAGCAGGCAGAGAGTAGTCAGGTCACGAGCCGGGTACAGCAACTAACGGGCAGGTAGGTACAGGGGGTCAGGCAGAGAATAGTCGGGGTCACAAGCCAGGGATCAAACAGGAGAAGTCAGCAGAGGTCCGGATCAGGCAGGGTCAGCAACGAATCAGTCAGACAGGGACAGGAACAGGAACAGGGATGCAGGTAACAAGATACAGGGGCCCAGGAAAAACACACACCAAGGCCCAGACTGCAGGTCTGGCCATCCCTTAAATACACCTGCATAATCAGCTTCAGGTGTTTGGCTGGCTGCAGGGTTGAGTCTCTGATTGCTGAGAGCACCCGCTGGCCAGCCCTGGTACTGCAGCCCACAAGGCAGGTGAGTCCCACCATTACTGGCAAGTCCATTCCTGACACCAGGTCTGTTTTTCTTTAGCCCAGGTAAGACGCTTCTGATGTGGTTTGTTGTTCATGAGCGGCTTGACAAGAGGAATACGACATTTGAAGCCCATGTCCAGGATCCGTCTGTGTGTGGTGGCTCTTGATGCACTGACTCCAGCCTCAGTCCACTCCTTGTGAAAGTCCCCAAAACTTTTGAATGACCTTTTCCTGACAATCCTCTCCAGGCTGCGGTCATCCCCGCTGCTTGTGCACCTTTTTCTTCCACACTTTTCCCTTCCACATATCTTTCTATTAATGTGCTTTCAAACAGCACTTTGGGAACATCCAACTTCTTTTGCAATTAGCTTTTGAGGCTTTCCCTCCTTATGGAGGGTGTCAATGATGGTTTTCTGCAAAACTGTCAGGTCATCAGTCTTTCCCATGGTTGTGATTCCTACTGAACCGGACTGAGAGACCATTTAAAGGCTCAGGAACCCTTTGCAGGTGTTATGGCTTAATTAGCTGATTAGAGTGAGACACTTTGAGCCTAGAATATCGCACCTTTTCACAATATTCTAATTTTCTGAGATTATGGATTTGGGGTTTTCATGAGCTGTAAGCCATAATCATCACAATTATGACAAATCACGGCTTGAACTATCTTGCGTTGCATGTAATGAGTCTATCTCATATATTAGTTTCACCTTTTAAGTTGCATTACTGAAAAAAAAAGAACTTTTGCACAATATTCTAATTTTTTGAGTTTCACCTGTATATGTGGAATTATATCCCAAAATGAATTCTTCTACTTCTACCGAGTATGGAGATACCACATGTGTGAGACTTTTTGGGAGCCTAGCCACATACCGGAGCCTGAAATCCAATGACCACTTTGAAGCCTGAAGGTGCGTAACTTCCTCATTTCACTTCCTCACTACCTATCACAGTTTTGGAGGCCCTGAAATGCCAAGATAACACCAACCTCCACCCCCCCAATGACCCCTTTTTGGAAAGTAGACACCCCAAGGAATTTAAAAAGAGACATGGTGAGCATTTTGCAGATCCAATGTTTTTCTCACAAGGTTTTGAAATATAAAAAAAGAAAAAAAAAATATGTTTTTGTTTTTTTCTTCAATTTCCAAAAACTTGTGGCACCAAACGAGAACTGAAAAATGCTCACCATGCTTCTTATCAAATTGCTTGGGGTGTCTACTTTCCAAAAAGGGGTCATTTGGGGGGGGGGGGTGCTAACCTGGCATTTCAGGGCCTCTGAAACTGTGATAGGTAGTCAGGAAGTGTAATGAGGAAATAAAGCCCTTTAAAATTCTGAAGGTTCTTATTGGAGTTTGGGGTCCTGTATTTGGCTAGACTGCCAAAACGTCTCTCACATGTGGTACCCCCATACTCAGGAGAAGCAGCAGAATGTATTTTGGGGAGTAATTCCACATATACCAATGGCATGTGTGAGCAATAAATCATTTAAGTGACAATTTTGTGTAAAATGAAAAAAAAAAATTTTGTTGTCATTTTACAAAAACTTGTGGTAAAAAAATAAATTTTTCTATTAATTCAACATGCCTCTTAGCAAATAGTTTGGGATGACTACTTTCCAAAAAGGGGTTGTTTTTGGGGGTGGGGGCATTTTATGCCCAGCATTAGAAGTTTATGCCACACATCACTCACTCTTCTAACCACCTGAAAATCAAGCCTTTTCTGACACTTTTTGTTCACATGAAAAAAATAAATTTTTTGATAGGAAATTATTTTAAACCCCCAAACATTATATATTTTTTTAAAGCAAACACCCTAGTGAATATAATGGTGGGTGCTGCAATTTTTTATGTTACATAGTACTTGCGCAGCGATTTTTCAAATGCAATTTTTTTTTTAAAGTACACTTTTTTACTTTTAATGCGCAAAAACACAATATATTGGCCAATTATTTGGTAAACTATAAAAGATGATGGTATGCCGAGCAAATATATACCAAACATGACATGTTTCAAAACTGTGCATGCCCCGTGCAATGGCGACAAACTGCATACGTTTTTAATATCCATAGGCAACGTTTAAAAGCCTTTACAAAGCTACCATTTTAGATTTACAGAGGAGGTCTAGTGTTAGAATTACTGCCCTTGATCTGACATTCATGGCGATACCTCACATGCATGATGCAACCGCTGTTTACATACCGGCACAGGGTCAACGCTTGCGCACACTGGTATGCGTGTGCGGGGGGGGGGGGCGAGGGTTCTTTTTTTTTAACTTATTTTGATTTTTTTAATTATTTTTACACTGTCCCTTTCATTTTTTTTTATCACTTTTAATGCTATCACAGGGAATGCAAATATCCCCTATAACATCAATGGGCATTGTCATATTTTTTTTTTTTTTGAGAAATCTGGGGTCTATCAGACTCTAGATATCTCCTCTGCCCTTACATTATCTAATCAAACCAAGATCAGTGTGATCAAATGCTTTCCCAATTTACAAATGGCGCTGTTTATATCCTGCAAAACTGAAGTGATGAAATGCTCGTAGTTTCCGATTTCTTAGACTAAAGAGATGATTGGCACCATTCCAGTCTCCAATTTGCTCTATGGTCAGCTGGCAGAAACACCGGCTGCATTCTCAGGTTCCCCCGATGGCACGGGACTGCCCGAGAAGACCGTGGAAGGCAGCGGGGCATCATCTCCCACTGCTTGTAAAAGCAATCCTACAGCTAATTAGCCACTAGGATTTCTTTTACATGAAAGCCGATCTCAAGCTGCAAACAATGATATCAGGATGATGCCTGCAGCTGTAGGCATCATCCTGGTATGACCATTCAAAGTCCAGTAATGTACCAGTACGTTGCTGGTCCTTGTCGGGTATATATGTTCTTTTTTTTTTGTATGCAGCCTGTGGGCTGAATGAAAAAAAGCAAAAATCTCTGCCAGAAAAAGTGTGTGGTATGCCCAACATTAGAATATACACCCTGCATCCACCCACCCACTTCTAATGGTGGGCACACATTAGGTGACACGGTGCCACATGCGCCAGTTCGAAGATTGTACAAATGTCTAAATAGTGGCACGCTTGAATAAAAATTGTCCACATATAAGTGGTATCCCATATGGAAAAGGGATGACACCATGTCCCAAACTATCTTGCCACTACTTCTCATGTAGTCTGGGCATCCGGGGGGCTCCACATGACTATCTTTTCCCTCATAAATCGAAACTTATATGTATAGCCTGTTGCCCTCTCACAGGTCTTCTACATCTTGACCCCATATCTGGCACGCTTGCTGGGGAGAAATTGTTTGAATGTAAGGCAGCCAGAAAAATTAATGAGGGACTCATCAACCCAGATGTTTTGCTGGGGAGT